TTTCAGACTCTGTCTTTCATTTTTTCAAAAAAGAAAAAAAAAAAAAGAAACTAATTCTTCTATCGATTACCTTTTCAATTTGACGAACTTCCAGTTCGCGACAGCTTTTAAGAATTAATTTCCATTATATTTCTTATTGAATAAATATTAGACGAACGTCGGTGGAAATCTCGGCTGGAAAGTTTGGCGAAATCGATGATCTATTCAGTATTTCGCTGTAGGTCGCCCAGTGTTTATTTTTTCGATCGACCAGCCTGGGCGAGCAAAAAGCAGGCTTCCAGGCGAAATTTCGACTACGGTTTTTCCGCAGGATTCTCTCGATGTACCGCGACAATGTGCTGCCTCCCGTTCTGCACTGTCGTTGGTTGGTGATTCGCTACGAATATTTTTAGAAACGACAACCTAGTTTCCACCATCAGGATGTATCCCGTTCCATGCCGTTTCATCTCATGGACAAATGAGAAGACAGGCTATAATCGAATCGGATCCATGAGTTCGAACGTCGAAGTTTCACAACGATGTCACCCAGTTAGTTAATTATGCCGAATCTGGTCAGTAGAGTCGATTTGAAGCAAAGTTGATGGCGGTCCTGGTGGTTGATGGTGTCGCGTCGCCGGAACAAATTTAGGCGGCCGAATCGCCTTTTACTCGGGGATTTTGCAACAAACGAGAAATCTTGGTCGGTTTGGCGGGCAAGTTTCTATTAAAAGTGTATGACGCCTTGCCCTCAACCGCGCGCGTCCACCTAATTGATAATGTATTTACAAATTCTGCGCGACATCTAGTGACATCATGTTTCGAAATAATATGCTTTTATACGGGGGACTTGGCACCCGTTTCTTTTATCTATGCCACTTTTTTTTCTCCCCTCTCCCCTCCCTCTCCCGTCCCTTTTCCCCTGAAATGAAATTACTATTACGTCTACTGGGCTCTCTATTCTTTGTTCCTCGTGTGTGTCTAACCGAGTACGCGAATGCGATTGCAAACAACGATCGGGAATGATGATCGACAACGAGCGACAAACTGTTGCAGCCGACTTATCAGAACCGCGAGGCCATCGAGGAGAGCATCGCGAAAAGTAGCGGCGGAGGGAAGATGCCCTCTCTGAACAATAATCTGTCGGAGTTGGACACGTTGCTCCAAGATCTGAGCAACGCTCGTTACAACGCGCATTATCAGGAACGAGGTCAGCAATCCTATTTCCCTGTTACGTTCTCCCCTATTACGATCAGATTGTTTCATGATCCGCACGATGAATTGCCGCAAAAATTCGATGACCGAAATGACACGTCGCATTTACCGCAGAGAGTCGCATCTCCTCGGGGGGAATGAATGGAGACTCTAGTCCGATGCTTCGTTCGCCAAGTAGCATGTCAGCCTCGAGGCCCACCGTCGATTCGTTGCTCGAAGAGTTGAGCACCGCGGTGC